GTTTTTCCATATATTACGAGAGTTAGTATGGTTGAACCGCTAAATGAGTTGGTTAGTTGAACTACTTAACCGAGTTATTGATTGCCGTTGAATGAGTGTAAAACTGGAAGAGATTTATTCCCGATTCCCTAGCTTCTTTATTATTGTCTTGTTTATATTTTTAGCTAGATTATTATTTTATGTTATTTCTTAGTTGATATTTTAGTTAATTATTATCCAATTCATCTTGATTAGAATGTTTAGGCTTTATTTTCATTTTATATGTTATCAACACCAATGTTAAATTCCGAACAGTTTTCCTCGAGAGATCGACCCGGGAAACGAATCATTTAATTCGGTGCTCGGTAAAATAAAAATAATTTGTACACAACAGTTGTGGCTGTTCTGAATATTGCATGCTCTTTTCTTTCAGCAAAAATGGCACCAGGTTGGTTCTAAGGGGTCAAGTTCCTAAGCTTTTGGATACCTTCTGAGTATATTGAGGAAGACAAGGGTGCCGCAGATAGCTCGACTGAAAGGAGAGGTTCGACACTTAATATTATTCTGAATATTGTTGTCATGTGCATGTTCTTGAAGGCTTAATATTGTGCCTATGGTTGTGGCTATTCTGAATATTGTGCCTATGGTTTTTTGAATATGGCTGTGAACACTTGATATTGTTCTGAATATTGTTGTCAGGTGAATATTGTGCATGTTCTTCTATTGGTTTACAATTTTGTGTATGTTCTTCTCAGGTTACTCCATTTGAATGGCTGAAGGCTGTTCCTAAAGAACACTGGGCCAAATGTTTCTTTTCTCCTAATGCAGTGTGTGATGTGATTGTTAACAATCTATCAGAATCTTTCAACAACTACATTTTGGAAGCTAGGGACATGGCTATTGTGGACATGTTTGAGTGGATCAGAAGAAGATTGATGGCAAGAATCCAGGTGAAGAAAGCTGGAATAGACAAATACAAAGAGGACATTTGTCCAAACACAGTCAGAAAGATTGAAGAGCAAAGGGAAATAAGTAGGAATTGTCACCCTACTTGGGCTGGAGAGGACAAATATGAGGTAGTTCATGGAGTAAACAGCTATATAGTCCAATTGGGAGCAAGAAGCTGCACATGTGGCATGTTCCAAGTGGTTGGCTACCCATGTTGCCATGCACTGGCATGTATCAGTTTTCATAGATTTAGTGTGTCTGATTATTTCAAAAAGGACATGTATATCAGAATGTATACCCATATGATCTTCCCAGTGCCAGGGATGAATGACTAT